TTATTTATTTTTGAGAGAGAGAGAGAGACACTGAGTGTGAACAGGGGAGGGGCAGAGAGAGAGGGAGACACAGAATCTGAAGCAGGCTCCAGGCTCTGAGCTGTCAGCACAGAGCCCAACGTGGGGCTCGAACTCACGAACTGCGAGATCATGACCTGAGCTAAAGTCGGATGCTTAACCGACTAAGCCACCCAGATGCCCCTTGGTCACTGATCATCTTAAGGAGGAAAAATGTATCACTTGCTAATAAAACATACATAAATAGGATAAAATAATAACTAAAAATAGATTAAATAAATAAATCGAATCAAAAATTAGAACATTTTTTATTTATTTATTTTTTTAACATTTATTTACTATTGAGAGACAGAGAGAGACAGAGCATGAGCATGATGGGGGAGCAGGCAGAGAGAGGAGGAGACGCAGAATCCGAAACAGGCTCTGGGCTCTGAGCTGTTAGCACAGAGCCCAACACGGGGCTCAAACCCACAAACCGCGAGATCATGACCTGAGCTGAAGTTGGACGCCTAACCCACTGAGCCACCCAGGCGCCCCTAAAAAATTAGAACATTTTTTAAAAGTTTACTTCTGCCAGGGATAATTTGCAATTGAAATGTTTGCTCAGAGAACAAGTTTCCAGTTTCTTCAGTAGTTGCTCGGCCTGCATAAGGACTCTTGGGCCAGTAGACATATTCTTAAATCTGTGGACATATTCTTGGGTCCACAAACATATTCTTGGGCCCACAGACACCACCTCCCGGGGTCCGTGAAAATTGCTCAGACTTCAGATTCTCTTTCCGGGACTGCTCAATCGATCAGAACTTGGACCTTCATTATTCCGCAGGAACACAAAAGATGATTTGCTGATCTGGCTTTGTGTTTTTGAACACAGGACAACCAATTCTGAATTCTAAAGGGTTTGTGAAAGCCTAATGCCATTTTATTTGCTGAGACTATAATCTGAGCAAAGCCGTGGGGAAAGAGAACACAAACAAAACACAATCTATTAATTTTCCAATTGTTATTTTTATTCTGCAGGCATCAGGTAGTTTCCACCCTGATCCTTTTCTGCAAAAGTAAACACTGTGTGTGTGTTTAAGTTCAAATATTTACTGAGTACATTACTAATGCACATTACTCTGTAAATCATTTTCTATGCGAAGGAGGCCGGCGGGAGGTGCAATATGTGATCTTTGCTCTCCCGCCTCTTGACTAGCAATCTCTTTGAGGGGGGCCATCTGAAAACAGAGCCAAGAGTGAGTGAAGAATAAACAGACATCAGGCTGTCTCTGAGTCCTCAGGGCCCCCCCATCTTGAGCCCTACGTTCTCTTGGAGGCATAGATCATACATGCTCAGGTGATCATGTGACCACCCCTCAGCGCATCTTAAAAGCGATGGACTTTGAGGGCGTGTGTCTGGTCTGTTTGCTGATGCACCAGAGGCGCCGGGCCCCAGTAGACAGGTATTGAGCGCACAGCAGTGCTGGGCTCTGTGCAGTAGCAGGGACAGCAACAGCACAACAGGCCAGGGCGTCCCAGAAGGCCTCCCACCGTGAGGATGTC